GCCCAGAAGCTCATTGTCGGGGGCACATCTGCCGTGCGATCGTCGGTCGATTGTCTCGCAGGCTTAGGAAACTCGCTTGTGAAAAAAAGGCGGCTTAGCCGACGGGGCGACGACGCACGTGGTACGGGACGTGGACACGCGTGTCCGCCGGAGAGAGAATGGGAAAAGGATCTTCTTTTCTCTTTTTCTCTCCCTTCCCCTAAGTAGCGACACCACTTTTGCCACACGCAACCGCGAAGTAAGATCGAAAGAATCGCACATCGACGAGAAATAACGCGATACGCTCCGGGGAGGGAGAGAATCACAAAACGCTCGCGTTGTTGACTCGTCGTCGCGCGAAATCAACGCGGAATCGGCGAAACGCGAATCTACAGAAGCCCGTACAAGACCGTGCGATTCATTTACCGAACGACAACTGATCTTCTCGTTATGGACGATCGCGCGTGTGTTCCGTCGTTCGAAAAGGGTCGCTTCGGACGTAATAAACAAACGCGCGGTCGACACCCTTAAAACGCCCGAGTGTATCGCGTTTGTGAGTCGGCGAGTAAGCGCGACATCAGCGTCATTACCCGTCCCGCATTACAGTTACATGATTATCCGACGGCGAGCGTCGACAGTTTAAAGTCGAGACTGTGGATCCGAAGCGCAGACAGCGTTAAAGTGTTAATTACTAATTAAGAAGGGTGGTGCAGCGCGTCAAGACCCTGCGCGCGACACCTTTTTGAACGCGCCCTCTGAATGGACGCTTACGCCCCAGCGGGCAAACGCGCGGTAGTCGCTCGCTCATCCATCCGCGCCGCGCTCATCGACGCACGAGCGGGAAGACGCGACACGCATCTACGGCCACCCGCGCACGGACGCGCTCGCGCGGACGCTTAATGCTCTCTCGTTACACGCACTTTCACGGCTCGTGCCCTCGCCTCGTGTCTCGCGTCTCGTGGCGTAAAGTAGAGCGCGCCGGTAGACGACGATGACGACAACCACCACGACGACGGCGTTTCTCTCGAATTCTTTGCCGGCCGCTTCCGCACCCTTCCTCCACACCCCTCGCCGGCCGCGATCATATCGACCTTGCGCCGACAATGTCGCTTATGGATGGAGAAAGTTTCTCCTCTGGATTCCGCGCTTCTTTGCACTGTCATTTATTTATTTTCACCACTGCAATCAAGTTTGTCCGATGTAGAATTTGTAGCGGTTGCCGAAGTCGTCTCGAAGTTAAATTTTTATCGCGAGGGAATTCTCGATAGATGTTCGATACGCCGGCGCAAAGTCATCGATGACGTATATCGATCGTATATGATTCCAATCGCCGATAAGAAAGTCATGCTGAAAATCGTCTCGTTAGATGGAGAATCTCGTAGCCTTTGACAACGTCCCCGCGAATTGCGAATTTCCCCGAATAAAGAATAGATCTGTGAGTTTCCCGCCGATCACCGCGCAATAGGGACGCCGTGGGAAAGTTTCGGGTAAGAAAACCGTGATGCTTAAGGGATTCAAACGTTCAGGGTCAACTGGCGTCTTCGAGGGTGCCGGTGTTCCCTATTGTCGGAGGTCGACCGACTTGGCATGACCGTTAAAAGGGGCTTGACTGGCGGGTTCGGTGGCTTAAGAAGCACGTTCCTTGAATAGAGATCGGAAAGGGGGAGACTGTAAGGCGAGAAGACGCGATCTACTTTGCAAACTTGCGGAAGGTGTACGACTTCTCGCCGTGCCTCTGCCCGCCCAATTGCTCGAAGTCATGATGCAAATCTCGTTTCATTTCATTGAGAGATATGTCGTTTGTTTTCAGTTCCCTTTTCTTTCGACGCTCTTTTGATATTTAGATTGTAAATTTAGGGAGATCGACGTTTGCTCTCGGTCGCACCAATGTTATTTCCATTATAAGCTTGTAGATTCGACGCTCGCACCATGACAAACATAATATCCGCGAGTGGACTACAAAGTAAAGCAGATATAAAAAAGTATCTCCGAGTGTTGAGAGATTTCCCTTTTAATTGCTGCTCTCTCTCTCTCTCTCTCTCTCTTTCTCTTTCTCTCTCGCGTATCTCGGCGCGTTGCGTATCGCAAAAGCGACATGTCGAAAAAGCGGTTGACAACGAATCGCGATTGAAGGAGGCGTCGTGACAACAAACGCTGTTGCTACATACTAACCGCCTCAATACGCGACACCTCAGGTGCGTTTAACTTGTCCGCCTCTGTTTCTTTTACGGGATAAGGCAAATAATATCTCCTTCAAAATGAAAAAAAAAGCACAACTAAAGCGCAAGTGCGCCCACGATGAATCCGAGCTCTTAATGTCTTCAATGGAATCTTTCCTGCTCTTTATCTTGCTCTTTATCTAGCTCGATATTTAGGACATAAATATTTTGCAAATGTTAGTGCTTTCTAGTCTGTGAACTTCAAAAATCTGAGTAGCCCCGACCACGGATATAAGAGGACCGTAAAAGATCGAATAAGTACGTTCGCTTTGAAGAATCTCGACGTCGCAGGGCCAATCTCCATACGCTCCTCATTCTTTTTCGTTGACGAAGCTCGTCGTAATTACATGCTAATAATTAGCACCTTTACGGAGATTTACGCCTTTTCTCTCTCATTTTATCCACCTTTTCATTCCCTTCTTCTCTCTTTCTCTCTCTCTCGTCGTCTCTGTTTTATTCTATCATTGTCCTCCCGTTGCAACAGGGCGCAAGAAAACCCGAGGCCCTGAGAGGAGCATATTGTTATCCTAATTATATAATGCTATAATGAATGATCTCACTGACTCGCCCTTTGGCACTCGCTCTCGTTCGCTCGCTTGCTCGCGCGCTCGTCATTCGTGCCGTTTCTCTCTTTTCTTCCCTCTCGCCTCTTGGCGGTTTCTCTCGCTCTTTTTCTCCGCACTTGGTGGTCGAAGAATGGCAATTCTAGCACTCGGGCTTTTTGTCAAACTGATTACGGAACTAGCGCTGTCTCCCTCGCTCCCTCGCACCCCATTATGCAGCCAGTCTCGTCTCTCGTTCCGCTTTCTCTCTGTCTCCGGGTGTCTGTTTTAATTAGGCACTTCGTAGATACGCATGCCCACGTGTGTGTGTGTGTGTGTAAGCGCGCGCGACAGGATATACGGCGTTAACGTAAGTACGTAAGCGACGCAGTCTACCACTACCTCCACCACATTCCGCCTATACTCGACGATCCGACGAGCTTGAATGCGGTCGATGGGTGGTTGAGTAAGGATTATAGGTGCAGGTAACACATGCATAGGACGAAGTTGGGGGCGGCTCGCCGATGGGTAGTGTGACGGTTCGAGGAGATGAAGAGAGACGGATATTCGAAGGGATGATGGAGGAACTCCTCTTTCGATTCTTCCCGGGTGCGCGGAAACTTCCTCCGGCTGACTGCTGATAAGAGTACGCGAAATTATCTTAATTGGCAGTAAAGCCAATTCGAAGCAATCGAACGAGAAGGGAGAGAGAGAGAGAGCCTCCTCTCGCTCTTCCTCCATCTCCGCTCCGTCGCTTTTTCTTTCAACGACTTTGAATGGGGCGAATGTTGCGGAAGATCGCGTTGTTTTCTTTCGGTGAGAGAAGCGAGAGCGAGATCCCTGACCCCTCGCAATCCCCGAGCGTGCGATAGGTGAAATACGGTCCGCCTCGACACACACGAGCTACGAAAGTAGGCCGGCTAGGATTTCGCGAACGAGAGTGAGACAGGACGTTTGCCGAGCGGATTGGTATCGTTGAAAAATCTCCCGCTAACTTAGGTCGCTATGTAAACGTCCTATTCCCTCCCGCAAACGAGCCTCCGATCTGCCAGGTGGAAGCAATCTTAAAAATTGCTCCCAACGGTACTAAACGAGAGTCGTAGGCGGTTGTTTTGCATTGTCGAGTATTCAGCGACGATGAGTTGTACAAGCCGCGCTCTCGTTGAGCCGTCCTCCTTTGCATCCCCGAGGGATCCCAAGTGCAAGATCGACCACTGCGCGCTACCGGCTCGACGAAGACACTCGGCCGATGCTAATATGCGCCCGAAGAACGGCCTCGACGACCTGGGGGAGCGTAAGGTCGGCGAAACAGAAAAGAAAAAAAAGGAAGGAAAAAAACGTTGACGCAAATTGCATCTTCGAAGCTTCACGGTAGAGCTTTTTGCTTTTCCTATTCATAATGAATGAAGCACAGATGCGTTAAGAAGAGTTATGCGTAAAACAAAGATAAATTGCGAATTGCGACATTAGAGCTTTACGAATTTATAGCTTGTACACAATGAAGTTAAAAGTAACCACAAAAAAACTAAGTTGAACTTTGCATTAATAATTAATAGCCAGTGTGTTCGTTTCATGTCCTTTTCCTCGATGTCTTTTCCGATCGTGCTTCGACTAGGCGAAAAGAACGAAGGCTCGGGTCACCATCCGATATTAATTATCCACCGCTTAACGAGTCGTGTTTGCTTTTTCGCATTAATCGATGCACGTAAAGATATCTCGAGAACGATCGCGACATTTCCTGCCGCAGGCCATTACGCGAGCAAGTCGCGTGATTTCGCGTCGATTATACATACACCGACTGGAATCGCGAGGGGGTATCGAGTCTTCATGGCCAACGTGGTCGACAGGTTTTTCATCATCTCGTTGCGTCTGTCCGCTCGACGTCGAGGAGAGCTCGCACAGAGCTCTCCACGTGCGTCGTCCCCTCTCTCCCTTTTTTTCGCATTTTCTTCCGCTTACGTCAGACCATTGTTAGCATCGATCTTTAATTAATTATCGATGACGCATTGGTGCTGTCGCTGTCTGTCGCGAGGAAACCAGGCGAGACAAGAAGCAGCCGCAATGACGTAGAAAGATTTATTATTAATTGACACCCTGATATACGTATTACGCAAGCCGTCGCGTTCTTGCGAAAGCTCATATTTATTAATCATTTTTCAGTCACACTAAAATCACATCAGATACACGTATCGTCCGCTACTCCGCGAACTAATAGAGTCATAAGTATCGCCTAACCGTGTACCTTCTTGCGTTGTTTCAGGGAGTTCTACTACATCCAGATGGAGAAATACGCGAGACAAGCAGTTTCGGAGGGCGTGAAAAACGCCGAAGACCTCCGAGTTGGGGGCGACTCGGAAATCTACCGGGTTCTCAACCTTCACTACAACCGTAATAACCACATTGAGGTATGGGGTCCCCAGGTGCGCAACACGAACACGCACACGCTACATTTTATTTTATTTCCCTCTCGTTATTGTTTCGCGAATCGAAAAAAAAAAAAAAAGAGAGAAAAAAGGAGTGAGAGAGACGAGCATGTGTTTCCTCGTAATAGAGATTTCCGACGCGAGTCGTCAAGATCGATTGGTTCCGCGAGATTAAGCTTTCGATGTGTGTACCATTTACCGTACGTTTTCATTTATCGTACATCTCTCACGTGCGTCTTTGTGGTTTACTATGATTACAAGTGTTTTTTTGCACGTTTCGTATGATAAAAAGTTAGACCTAAGGCATCTGATACTTGTGCTGAAAAATTGAAAGATTTCTATTTCTGACGTTATCGATCACGTGAAGGATTTGATGCGCAACGAGTGTATCTAATAGTAGACTTTCTGAGAAGAAATTCGGAGAAATTAATCTCAAAGTGTGGAAGAAGAAATTTTCACGACTTTTTCACGTTGTTAAAACGTAGATTACCGTTGCGCCGAATCTTTCTCGTTATTATTAAGTTCATAAGAATAAATAATTGGATACTTTTCTCGTTTGAATTCTAATTTGAGGCTATTCTTGTTACTTAAAATATTAATTTAAATTTTGTCTCTTGCTCTTTTGCTAAAAATAAACAATTCAATAAAGAAATCATATCCACCGCGATAAATCTTCGAAGCTGATCTTGAAAGTTTTTAAAAGGCTCTGAATTTTGGATCACTGAAAATATCGCATGTTGTGGCATTCGCGACGAGACTCCTCGTCGCGAAAACCGAAGAACCAATATATGTTCACGGCTTCATCATCGCGCACATGGCCGCAATGATGCTAACGATGATTTGGAACTTCCAGGTACCCAGCAACTTCAGGTACGTTGTGGAGCAAACGCTGAAAGAGTTCTTCAAAGCGATTCAGGGCGGCAAGGACACCGAGCAGAGTTGGAAGAAGTCCATCTACAAGGTGATCTCGAGGTTGGACGACCCGGTGCCGGAGTACTTCAAGAGCCCGAACTTCCTGGAGCAGCTCGAATGAATCAGGAGGTCGCGTGGCTCTTGCTCTTCGTGGTGCGCGGGCTCGCCTGCGCTCGTCGGCTCCCGATAATCAGGAACGACCAACGAGAAAGGATCGCATCCGCCAGGAGGTACACGTCCTTCGCGTAGTGCGCGTTCAGGTACCCTTAAATAACATATCGCAAAAACGAACGTGAGAGAACGAGGGTTAGGAAGGGAGAGGAGACACGGACTAAGCCGAGGAACAGAGGCACCCGAGACGTCCGTGCGCAACGGCGACGTCAAGGTGCCAACGAAGGATCAGGCTGTGACTAAATCACGAATCAAACGAGAGAGATAGAGAGTGATGAAGGAGACACACAGACACACACTGTAACACCGCGTGAATCGACGGCTGACGAAAGCCCGAAAGCCGCGAAGTGTCGAACGCCCATCGACGTTCCTCTTGTTTCAACCGAACGAGCGTGAGAAGGTGATCTTGGAACGAGACGAAGAAGCACGACGAATGCGTGGTCAACGAACGGCGAGGATAGATAGCTTCTAATATCGATTTTGTCCGATCTGTTTGTTACTTAGAGTAATCAATTCGTTATCGCCTAATTTTACATCACACGATAAGGATAGGAGTTTAAGAACAATGACACACTACCGGGGTCGCATTTACACAGAGAAAGAGGGAGAGAGAGAGAGAAACGTCCGGAATATTTGCGAGAATGTCCAAAGATTGACTTAGTCACTACGAAATACACACACGGCGGTTCCTCTTCTGGCTTTAACCCGGAAGCGGGACCTTCATCGTCGTCGTGAGGAACGACGCCGGACGGGCAGCGATACTTCTCGTCCCGCGCCGTTCTCCGGAGAGAAGCCGTTCGGATTAGAAAAAAGTGCTCGCACTATTCCGGATAATCCTACTCTAAGCTCTGTGAAAGTCGGCTTCGGTTTTGCAAGGATCGATGCTCTCTGATGGAAATTCCGAAGGACTTCCTATCGATGCATGAATACCGGATTTACGACGATTCATACTTCGATAAGAAGACATTCTCTGAAACCTTCTCTGAAACTTGTAGCATGCTTCTTTCTTTCAGAAACAGTTCAATTTCTCTGATACTGACACATCGTCGGTGAAAAGCGCGGGATACATCTCGATTCTTTTCGACCGACGAATGGAAGAACGTTACTTTCCTCCCTCCCCTCCCCCCGCCCTTTTACACCATCTCATACATTGTACATATTTTTGTTTCAACATATACAATCGATCGACCAAGTTCGAGATCGACGTGAAAATGCTTGGCTAATTAAGTTACATTGCGCGTATCACACAGAATCAGATAAGGAACGGCGCGAGAGAACGTGATCGCGCGTTGCTCATGTCGGTACCAAAGAATCGATTTCGACGAGAACCAAAACGCCGGACGGACGATCGAGAACGACCGATCTCTCGTAACGATCTCCGTACGAAGAATCTCCGTTCCTATATCTGCCGAGGATGAGATTCCTCCACCCATTTCGTTTGTCCCGTATTTCTTTTTTCGCTCGACGAGCAAACACCCATCGAGCCCGATAACACTAGTACGTTTGTACGAGCGCGTACGTCGCATCGAGAGTATCGGTGCGCACGGGTCAATATACATAAACTGTTTTTTTATTAATGGTTGATTGTATAAACGAGATTAGGCTAATCGCGGTGACGAGATCAGCAGTAGTACGGGCGACAAAACTGTAGAATCGGATGTAGCGTTCGCGAGTACGAATCGTATACGACGCCGGCGGCACTTTTCTAACTGTTAGCGTAGCAGACAAAAGAAGAGATAAAAATGCTATATAATTGTGTACGCCGGTGCGTAATTATATAAATATTAGACTTTCAGAAGCGAAAGAGAGATTGGCGGATGTTGGCGCGATTAAAGTAACGTAAAGAGGACGCGTGACAGAGGGTTGCAAACCGTGCGTCCTTTCCTCCACTTGTATACCCCGACCATCCACATACAGACTTACGAACACGGACACACGCTCGACACGCATATATCGTTAGTCATTTACACGTATTACACGTTCCACGCATGACGTGTGCGCATTCGCACGATCATGCGAAAAATCGGAGACGGCGCCCCTACATTTTCTTACTGTGACTTCTTCTCGCTAGAAATCTTTGTAGATATATTATGAGACGATATAAAAGTATTAGGGATAAATTTTTGGGTGGTAGCGAGTGCACATAATCTAATCCAATTATTTTTTCACTATTATTCTCGCTACTACGTGCACTATTATTATTATTATTATTATTATTATTATTATTATCATCATCATCATTATTATTATATTGCTATTATGATTATTATATAATTATTATATTATTATTAATATATTATTATTATTATTACTAGACTCACACTATTATCTGTATCAATATGACAATTTTGCAGTATGAAACAATTATAATTATTAAAATTATTATAGTTATATCGTTGAAATTGTCATATATGGAGAGACTTTAGTTAGTTTAAATTTAAGTCTGCCTTTTTATCCCCACAAAATTTCCCGTGTCGCTCTTTCATGCTTCCAATTTTTCATCCCTATTTTATTTGCAAGGTGATCTCCTTCAATTACCTTGTTACTCCTTTTACTTCGCCAAATCTACCTATCCCTGGAGAATTATGTTCTCTTTATCTTTAGTTATTATGTATTTAGTTATTATAATAATCATTACTAAAATTATACCCGTAAGATATATATATATATATATATATATGTATGTATATATATGTATGTATATATATATATATATGTATGTATATATATATATATATATATATATATATATTTTACCAGGCCGTACACGAACACACATAGGATATCTTTTTGCAAGCGGTGAGTCTTAACCTAGTCACGAGTCACTATTTTTTAATTGATTAATGGCCGATTTATTGATTATTATTTTATTTATTAATTATGACAATAAAATGAGAAAATGGATTTAATTTGCGCTCGAATTCGCGCGTAAACTTAGTCTTACTTTTGTTTTCACTCGACCGATCTGTATTATCCTTTCCTAATTAAAAAAAAAAAAAAAAAAAATTTAATCGTTACGTCGACATAAATGGAAAAAAGGTGTAAAAGAGAAAAAACTATTTCGATTTGGCATACTCGGAATATTCTCGACTGCCTTTCCGGCCTATCTTTTTTCCTAAGAAGGTGCGAATCGGCTGTAACGTACCACCACCCTGAATTTGCGTTCGATGAGTTCAACGAGAATAAAAACGAGCGGGTCTTCTTTCGTCCAAACTAGAACGCGCGCGGCCCAACTGAAGAAGCGATAACGAAATTTTGAAAATTGCAATTTTTATTACGTAATACTAGACTTTGGCCTAAAACTAGTAGCAACTCCTTCGGTGCTGGCCTAAGATTTTGGTCTAAACGTTTATAGCGCGGCACGAGAAAGGAATATTGGATGGACGATGCGGCATTGTGGACGATTTTGGATAATTTAAAAGAAGATTAATGAGATACTCGTTACACTCGCTGGCTCGCTCGTCGCAATTTTCGGGTGATCAGACGTTCGCGTCAAGGCAGTTATTGGCATGGATGGAAAATTACTACTCTAAAATGTTACGTTATCATTTCGCTTTTTTTACCACATTAATCTAATTTACACATCTTACGAAATCGAATTTCTCGGCGGTCCAATTTATAATTTATCTACAAGTCAGTCACGATATTTATCCTTACGTTCGTTTCAATTATTTTCAACGACTACTACCAGTTCGCATAACAATTGAGAATCTACTTTTTGTATCAATTCGTAATGAAAAATATCAAATGAAATATGTCTCAATGTATGTCAAAAGATCGAAGATACTTGAAATCTGAAATCGAATTAATTTAAATCTAAATGTGATATGATGTTTCTAAGCAATCTCTGATGTACACTTTGCATTACGTTTGGATTTTAAAAGCTTTGCGCTTTCACGTCGATACGCGTCAACATCTTCTCAACTACTGTCAGCAATATCCATAGAATAGTAACAGGATATTACGTAATTTCTTTACGGCAAATCTCGTTAAATAAAATCGCTATGTAGATTATACATCACGTGAATATTACGCCATTGATAACACATCACGCGAATTTAACAATCGTTCTCACACTTTCTTCGATCACGTTGGAGTTGAGAGAACAAAACTACTTTGCATTTATCCAAGAAAATACACCTAAGACTCATTTTGTCGTATTAAAACTGATTTTTCCACGAATATTATCTGCACTTAGTAAGAAAAAAAAACCAATCACTAAGTATGCTACAATATTAAAAATCGACGTTTTCTAAATCACATAAACACTCGTGCTACAACTGAATTCACTACCATGACGAAACTTGGTTTTTTCTCGCTTCTGGCAATTAGTACCAAAAGAATCGCAATAAATAAAACAGAGACGAGACTACCTGTCGCGATACGAATTAGACCGACCGTTTGACCATTTCTATTTCGCGTTCTTCGCCACGGAAACACGACGCAAGCTTCGGAAGAGTCGAACGAAAGACTCACGAAGATCAAGCCGGTTCGGAATCCCCGGTCAGCCGACAAGCTGAAATATCAGAGGAATTTCGTATGGTCGCTTATTCGTTAAAATCGGGCGTAAGGAACCGTTACGACGCATAAGTAGCTCTCGCGTGATCCTTCGAAGCCACCTAAAGGCTGAGAAAAGTAACGAAAACGGAAGAGTAAGTAAAAGTCCGCTCTATATTCCTCCGTCGACCGAGAATCGAAGCTCCTAGCGCGAAGGACGAAACGTTTCTATAGATCTCACTACAGACACACGCGCTCGAGCCGCGAGAAGACTCGGAATTTAGCGGAAAAAAGAGAGTGTCTAAAAACGAATGATAATGAACAGCCAGCCAAACCGGTGGTTGGTTGGTTCACCGCGATCGCCGAGATTCTCTCATCGATGGGAGAACCAAGCCGCGCTCCTTATCTCCCGATCGATGTTACCGATCCCGATCTACTGACGCGACATAGAATCGCGGGACGAAACTGGCATTGAACAGCGTGAGCGTAGAGAAAGGGACAAATTCTCAACGATTCTACGGATGCGCGATATAAAGAGAACGAAACGAAAATGTAAGAAGGGACAGACGGCGAGATCGACGAAACGTAAGATGTAAAAAAGAAAAAAGAAGGAAACCAGTGGCAATGAGACACGCATTTCCGAAGGACGAGAGGCGAAAGATTAGGAGGTCGTCGACTATTTCACCTATGAACTAGATTAGGAAGTAAATCGACTCGCCGTTGAAAAATACGTTTCGTAGCGGGGCCGACGCACGGAGAAACGAGTACACGGGACGGAACGAAAATTTAAACGAGAACGAATACGAGAGAATGCGGAAGAGAGAAAATAATAAGCATACGTACATACCTAAACGCGTAAATTTTAAGGACACGTAAACAGAAGTAAGTAATAGTATTTAACGTTAACACTTGCAAGCTATTAATTATTATATAAACAATTAACTAAAGATAAAAAAACGAGCGGAGAAGGTCGTATCACGCTGCAGAGAAGAAGAGGATTACCTACTTTAAAAAAAAAAAAACACACTAATAAACTAATTATTATTATATGATTATATTATTATTATTACGATCATTATATAATATCGAGTTTGAGATTAAGCCGTGATAAACAAGAGAAATCAGTGAGAATGAGAGAGAGCGAAAGTGATACCGGAGAGAAAGCGAAGGAGACAGTGTGGGAGTTCAAAAAGTGAATTCATTGAGAATAATAATTCCTCGAACTATTAGGAGCGTAATTAGGGTATATTTATTATGGCGGATGCGCGATTAACGATAGCGGCGCGGTAGTATACAGGAAAAAAGAAAAGGGGGAAGATAAAGGGGGGACAAGAAATATGTTATCTCCCCCATGACGTTTTAGCGAGGCGGAAATCGCGTCTTTCGAATTTTCGCGCGCGCGATAAGAACGAAGTGGAGGAGCGAACCCGGGAGAACGATCGAATGAGAGAATGTGAGAGAGAAAGAGAGAGTGAGTGAGAGAGTGAGCATGAGAGAGCGAGTGAAAGCGAAAGAGAGAGAGAGAGAGAGAGAGAAAGAAAGAGAACGAGAAAATGTGAATCTGTACACGATGTAAGAAAGAGAGGGAGAGCGTGAAAATAGAGCGTAAACTATGTTTCTATGTGAGATCACGTGCGTAAGCCAAAAGAAGAGAAAAAAGAAAAAGAAAACTGATTGTTGACACCGAGTGAGCAAACTTTGTGTGATAATCTTGTAGTACACGTAGCATGTTAAGTCTACAATACGTTTGGTAGGGGATTAAGGTGAGAACGACTTTCGGAAAGTCGGGCAGGAGAACGGGGAGTAAAAAAATCCGACCGAGAGGAATCCGAGAGGTCTTCCGTCGTGTCTACCTCCCATGATGTTTCTAAAAATCGGCCGGAGGCCTGTCCGCTTCCGGCCTGTCGACATATCACCGCGCGTTATATGAATCGTTCATTCCTACTACTTGAGTTACAGAGTGCTCGAGACTGCCGTCGACTACTCCGGCATTCTCGGCTGTATAACGTAGAGCGTTAAGTTTCCTTCGATAAGCTACGAAAGGCTTTCAGTTGGCTCGTAGTCTAAGTTTCGTGCGATCGAATTCGCGATCCAAGATGAGAGGCAACGCGAAGAGTCGACACGCGGCCAAGGTTTCATTTACAGGACGATAACGCGAGAACAGTCGATTACTCCTGTCACGCGAGTATCCTTAATCTTCTACGGCCCCGAGCTCGTATGATGCGCCAATGAGATCCTCATGTTGAATAAGTTATTAATTAACATCGTTAATTTATCGAGAATTTATTCTTACAAATTCATGTCATACATACACACTCGATATCTTATTATTGTATATTTCAAGTTTACACTATCATGGAATATGCTTTGCTTCCTAATTTCTTCAATTATCGAGATCTATCGTTGACTATTGTAATTGTTCGTTAGATTGCCTACAACTGGAACGTAGCTGTAGACCTGACGATTTCATCGATTAACATTAACAAGCAGTGGACCGTAAAAGATTGACACATCAATCACACATTAAACACCGGGTTTTAATTTACAGACGCCCCGGGAGGCTGTGCATACTCCAGCTCTCGGTTCAGCGGTAATTTACATAATGCAACAATCATATATACACACGTGCGCGCGCTCACGCATGTTTCTCTTCTTGGATCACAATAGTCGATTGTCGAAAGTTTACGTCGTAATGATCTCGCTCAAGATTCAAGAGCGTCGAAGAGAGCACC